TGTCCCTGAGGGGAGGCAGGCTGGGGCCGGAGGTGACCCTGGAAGGGGAGGTTCCGGAAAGAAGGCCTCAGGGGCCCCAGTGGCTCAGAAAAGCAGCTTCTCTGCTGGGGAGAGGGGCTTTTCTCCGCAACAAGCCTTCAGCCTTTGTAGCTGTGTCTCTTTCAAAAGAACAGGGAAGGGACGCTGGGCTGTCTGGGGGCAAGGGCTTAAGATGCTTTCCGGAGCCCCGCCGAGGATTTATCTGTGTGTTTCCTCTGGGGAGAGAGGGTTCGGTCTGCTTCAGAGACAGCAAGACGCATGCGATTGTACTGGGATCCAGGATGCCTGGGGGCCCCGGGGCTGGGGATAGGGGCCGCTGCAGAGTCCACGCTCCCTCTGCAGACGTGGACGGAAGCTTGGACGGAGGCTTTTGTTTACATTTCCCGGTTGTCCGAGCCGTCTGTGGCGGGCTGCCTTCTTGCTGAGGCCCTGCAGGTGCAGGGGTGCGTGTGGGCGTGGGAAATAGCAGCAACTGGGGGTGGAGGAGGGGGGGAGCCCGGCCCTAATGGTCTCAGGTGAGGGGGTTTCTCCTGCATCACATGTTCAGATTTCCTGAGAAAGGCCCAAGTCACACTGGCCACTCGGAAGGAAGCGCAGGCGTTTCTGGGAGGCTAAGGAGAGCTGACCACGCCGCAGGGGTCCGGGCGTGCGGGTCCGGGCCAGAGTGCGAGCCCTTTGTTAAGGTGGCTGTTGGGGCGGGGGCTGGCTGGCATCAGCAGGAGCCGAGGCTGACTTGTCACTTTCGGGGTCTCCCCCGGGCCAGGCAGCACCAGGAACTGGCTCTCGAGCAGTGTCTTTGCTTGTGTGCTGGATGCGTGACCGTGTTTATTACTCAGGGACCCGCGTGGTCAGCTGTGTCAGGAACAAGAGGAATAAATATAGTGTTGTGTTGTAAGTACGCTCTGTCTCCCCCAACCTGCGCTCCCTCATCACTGCATCGGGGGGATCCAGGCTCAGCACGCCCTTACTTTGTATGTTTTAAAGGACTATTTAAACTAAGGAAAGTTGCTGGTTAAAAAAAAAAATACAAGGAGAGGCAAACTGCTGAGGGCACCGTAAGTGAGTGGCCTAGATGGTGTGAATTTCATTTTTCTTGTGGCTCAGCGGTGATTGTCCGAACTGCAAGCACCTTTCCCTTTGAAAGTGTGGCTCTGGCGGCTCCCTCTTCGCCCAGCATCACGACAGCAGCGTGTCATGTGTGGGACGGTGCGTTTCACACTCTGAGCATCACTGGACTTTATCCTAATAGAGGGTTAAGCTGAGAAGGAATTCTCCCGGCATCCACACTGAGTTATTTAGAGTTCCCTTTCTTGAGACTTGCAATGTGTGCCGTGCGTGTGACCTGTGGGCGGACCGGTCTGACGGCAGGGACTTGCTGTCTTTTCCTTCAACTTCAGATCCTTTGGCCTTCAACTCAGAATAACTAGGCTGAGAATTTCTGTTTAAAATTCCTACCCCACCCCCACCCCAGTAATTTCGGTTTCCTGCTCCTTCCTGTAACCACCCGCTGGTGTCCTCAGGCCCGTCACTGGCAGGACTGCTTACTTCCTCTCACTGCCTTCAGATTTCTGTTCCAAAGAACGAATGGTTTAGGTTTTCCTCCTGATAAACATTCCGGGTTACTTCATGCTCCCTAATCTTGGCGTTTGTTGAGAGTCTCTTTTCAATATGGTGATTTAAATTTAAAAGATAAGGTGCCACCTGAAGGGGAGCCCTGTGAATGATAAGAAATGATTAACTGTCTTCTTTTCCTAAACTGCATTGTATTGGGTACTTGGTGCAGGCGCCCCGCAGCCTGGGGTCTCGCCGGCCCCCAGTGATGACAGCCCACTGAGCCTCGGTCCGCGACAGGCTAGAAGCTGTCAGTCAGGGGCACTGGCTGGGTTTTACTCTAAATTCAGATTCAGCAGCACTTCCACAGGTGCATGGGAGCGCATTTTATGGTACTGTTCTACCCCCCGTGGGAGCACGGAGCGGCCTCTTCTGAACTGAGACGCTTCTTCAGGACTTCGGGTTCCAGCTGCTCTGAGAAAGAACAACGTGTGCACACACGCAGACTCGCGGGGGTGTGGCCCCAAAGCACAGGTGTTTATGTTTCAAGTGTTGCTGCCCCGTGGGACTTGAAATACGCAGCTGGCTGGTTCCCACCCCGCTTGCCCCACTAGGACCTCCTCTGCAGGGGCCATGCCATCCTCTCTCAGCCCCCGTTTACTGAGTCCAGCCCACGGAAAGGTCCCAGTGGAGAGGTAGCACGAGGGAGTATCTGCTAAATCTTTTGTAACTTTTAATTTATCCTCTCCTGAGGCCGTGCATTCCATCCTGACGAGAGAATGATGAGCATTTTTAAGTAAATCTTTTAAAATTCAAGATGTGCTTTTCTGGTCATTTAAGTTAATTTTATGAATCTGTTCTGTTAAGCCAAGCATTAATTTTATTAATTTTGTTGCCAGAGATGAACACATTCTGTTTGAGAGGAGATATATTTGCAAGTAAAAAGGCAGCGCACATTGTCCCAGTGTTTATATAATTACACGTCTTTATTTAGTGGCGCCCTGCTTAATTTATAATGAGCAGTTAATATTCGTTGTGATAAACATAATCTTTCGGTGGTATATGTTTAAAAAGCAGTGCATTAGTGAATTGAGTGCATTTTAATTCCCCCTTTACCCTCTTTTGTTTTCCTATCAAGGTTATTAAAAGCAACATTTAAAATATTTTTAATGTGCCAGATGGTATGAAATTGGAATGGTAGCAAAAGGTAGCAATGGAAAGAAAGTCTCCTCAAATCTTGTCCCCAAGCCACCTGGCTTCCCAACCCTAAGTCAGCGACTGTGAAGTTCTTAGTCCCACCAGACGTGTTCTCAGCATGGATGAGGTCATGTGCACTTCACACACACACGCTCACACATACTTACTTGTATCACCTACGCCAGCTTTGGGATGGCTTTGTCTTGAGGCTGTAAGCATTTTCTCGGCCACTTAGCCTTCAGTACATGGATTATCCGAGCGTACTTAACCAGCAATGGGTTGTTCCAAGCACAGCACCAGGCTGGCTTTTGGGGACGCCCTTGGGACATGCATTTCGCGTGGACAGGTTTGCTGTCATTTACTTCCCTGGGCCATTGGGGTCACCCTGCAGGTCCCACGAGGCCACGAGCCCGTTTTCCTGAGGGATCAGTTTCCGACAGAAAATGCACGTTTTGCCACCTAATGAGCCGTGCTGTTCCCTGTGCTCGGCAGTGACGTTCACTTCCATCTGCCAAGCACCCACCGGGCGTCCAGCCCTGTGCCCGGGCCGTCCCTGTCTATGTCTGCAGGTCGTGTCTCTGACATGTTAGGGTGGTGCTTGGCTGACCAAAGGCTGGGTGTTCAGGGGCAGAAAGTGATGTGCACCCCCAGTGTTCGGCCCCCAACGTGCTCGATTCCATGGGGGGAGAAGCTGCTCCTGATTCTGTTTCGCGAACGGACGTCTCCTCCTGAGCTCCCGCAGGTGCACCTCTGCCCTCTCACTCTGCCCGCTAGCCTGGTGTTCGGGTCCCCAAAGGTTCAGCATGTCTGCCGTTGAACACCGGTCCCTGCCAGCTTTTACCCAAGCTTTCGAGGTTACTCAAGGCGCCCGTCAGCCTTGCAGCATCTCCAGCTGCCCAGAGCCTCCCTCTCCTCCTCGTCCACGACCCACCCTTCCCCGGAGTCCTCCTCCCGTGCCTGCCCACCTCCCGAGCATCGTGGACCTCGCCTCGGTCTTGCAGGGCCAGCGCTGTCTGGTCCATCACGTGGCTGCTCACCCCTTCTTCCTGTCGCTGCCTCTCTTCTCCAGAGGCGTTCCTCGTCCTCCTGGGTGCCTGCTCCCCCACCGTGGGACTGCAGGGGTGGGGCCCTCGCTTCGGTTCCCACACTCATTCGATGCGAACATCATGCGTCTGAAACCTGGCATTTCTTGACTTTTAGGCATTTTGTGACTTGACTTCTTGGTCATAATGTGGAGGGAAGGAATTTGGGAATTTTCAGAAAACGTATAAAAAGTGCATCTCTTTCTGGCTTACATCAGAAATTGACACGTTATAAACTGACTATACTTCAGTTTTTTAAAAAAAGTGGAAAAAAAAAAAGCGAATCTCTTTTGGAAGGAGAAGCATTCTCCCCCAGCGTGGTGGTCGCTGGGGCAGCTGTCAGGCTGGTCACGTCTGCCCGTAAGTGCCTGACGTGGGTGGTGGTGCAGGGGCGCACTGTGAGAAGTGGCAAGTGGGGGACGGGGGACATCCAGGTCATTTGGGTCTTCTGGATTGGATAGGTCATCTCCACCTGCACCCCTGGGGGTGAGAGGCAGAGATGCTGGTTAGGGGAGGCCACCCCGAGTGTGTTGGCTGGGCAGGGTCTGGGGTCCCCTCATCCTTCTGACACACCCTGGAGTATTCCAACTGGATCTTCAGCGTC